TCAAAAACCCTTGGGTTCTGACTAATCCCTTCTAGAGATGCGCCACGTATTCCAGCTCAGTTCAGGTTCAAAACGACTAGGCCTAGATCGTCTGCAGAAGAGGCCGTTCACAGGCCGTGGATGAGCCTGTTATCTGAGTATCCGTATCCCGGCGCAGTTCGGCGACGTAGGGGGGGGGGCATTTAGCGCTTATGGTGGTTTCCTAGTTCCGGCTACAAGTCTCACTCCGGTGGAACCTGTGAACTCTTGTGAAGCTGAGCAAGCTCGTCGAGCCACCATGGTAAAACCTGTCAACTCTTGTAAGCTCACGAAATGGCCTCTAAATGGGTCGATACGTCGATGGGAAGCAGAAAAGGCAAAATGCCCCCCCACGTCGCCGAAATCTGTCCCGTATCCCTCTTAACCCTGAATGAGTGCAAGTCTATCCTATCCAGCCTTGGATATGTGAAAAGGTAAAGCAGGGCTGAAGATCGGGCTTGCGATGGTAAACGAGTCGGTGGCGACTGCCCTTTAGGCGGGATCGATTCTGTCCAGTGATTCACCAACACTCCCACTGGGCGCGGACTTGCTAACAGTTCCTCATCGATGATGAGCCTCAAGGGGCTGTTGTGATATACTGGTTCGTCTGATTGGAGGCGAAATGATCCTTTCCTTCTCCCTCTCTTGGATGCTCGTGTGCTCTGCTGCTTTCTTTTACTCCTAAGGGGTAAGGTAGTCAATTTCGGCATCGATTGAATATGTCGTGGAAATCCCACCTCCCCCTCCCATCCGCCGCCTACTGCTTACTGAAAGAGATTGAAAGGTAAACGACAGCTCATCTCTTCTATGAAGCTTAGAAATGAACTGTCATGGGTATGGCGGCTTAATTGGAGTGTGGGGGCGAGATGTTCTCAGTACAGCTCTATGACGTAAAACCTCCCACGTTCCATATCCCTTACAGATATAAGGGTTTTCCTGCATTTAAAAACGCCTGGAACAATGGCCGTTGACCTTTTCCTCAGCCACGGAGGGTTAAGAGCTCGCCGAGTCGACTCGTGGGAACGACAATCACAGCCGTTGTTGAACGACATGTCGGCAATTTTCCGCCCGCTATGCAAAGCATTTAACCTGCAATATAGCGCCACGGCTGTTGTTGTTATGAAGATCGGCCCTAAGCCTACCCATTCCCAAACAGAGACGTTTTATTGACGAAGTCAAGCGGTGTTTTGTGCATCCAAAAGGAATTATCGCCAGAATAAACATCGCTGGCCAGCAGCAGACGACGTCATTTAAGAGATTTTTGGTGCCAGGCGTTTACTGTACTTGTCACCCTCCTCTCCTCTTGGTTTTATACAGTAACCTCTTCTCTCCTTTCAATGGAATATTTACAGAGGACCCTTCGAAATTACACCCACTTATCATGAAATATGAAACCGCTGGCGTTTAGCCCTTCGGATAGCTCCTTTTTACGTGCTGCACTATCGGATCAGTGTCTTTTTCCAATATTTGCCCTGGGCGGAGGTCTAAAGTGGTCCTAGGGCCAGCCAGTGGCAAAAGGGGTATCGTAAGTGGTTTCAGTTGAAAATCCGCATCGGTGGCTTGCTGGTGTTTGCCGAACGATTGTAGTCCAAACGGAAAAGCTGATTATGTCGTCGAGGACTTTGCGCTTTTCGTGACAGGAGCGCGACAACGGACAGCTTGACGGCTCTTGTCGTTCGGTAGCGGAAGTCCGGATTCATGTTTCAGCCGTTCGGCGCTCGTTCTGCTATGAAATTTGGTCGACGAATCAGTCACGCAGTACGGACTCTCATTTTTGCAAATCCAATTTTCACCGGTTGGCTGGAGTCGGCGATTTTCGTTCGTCTGCTCAAGCGGGCGGCTTTTTTTGCAGCGGTGATCCCCGTAACCATTTTTTCCTACCTGGAGGAAAAAAGGTTCCCAAGGGTTATTCCAACCCCATAAAAGGGAGGAATAGGTGAAGGAATGGCATAGCTCTCAGCACTAAAAGCAGGTCTACCCACCGTTCTCAAATAGCCCAACTCGGCGAAAGGAAACAAGAAACCCGCGATATCCCTAGGATGACGTGGACGGGACATATTACTCCGATGAGGGAAATCGCTGAGATTTGTGAGTCAGTAACTGTTCCTCTGATACAGAGCGGTAGGGAATTATAATGGTTCCGGCCTAGGAGGTCCCTTTTTCCAGAAATCGTTTATTTATGTTCCGAGTCTTTGGAAAAGGGAGGGAATAAAAGCTTCAGCACGACTCTTCAAACCGCCGTCTCTTATACGAACCCGCTCATATTCGAGGTCCAATTCACCCTCCCATCCCTTACGATTCCCCAGAATAGCCAGCCGACCAGAGAGGGAGCAGAAAATTTGTGAGGCAAATCTGTTGCTCGCCAAAACTCCCACACCCTTTCAGGTTGTCGGGGAACCAGTCCCCTCTCGGCGAACTTTATACAATCACGTCCCGCCAGCGTGGCAACGGCCCCATTAATCGGTGGGGACTCTTCAGTAAGGCCTCAGCCCCTACTTATGGATTAACATCTATTCCCGAGTTAGTTTGATTATTACCTATCAGCTTAAACGTGGGGTTCTTACTAGACTTTCCCTAGTTACATTTGCCATTCTACTATTTTTACTAATAACTTTGTTATTACAATGATAACTTTTGTCATAATGACTATCGCTATCTGCAAATTGAAATTATCTGACCATTTTCTGATCTTCTGTAAGTAGGCAAACTTTTTGGCGCAGTTCGGCTTGTTGGGGCACTTTGCTGGTTGGCACATCACGAATGATACCTCCCTGATGCCCCATACCTTATAACTTACTGGAGGCCTACTTATCTGCAGTATGCGTGTGGTTCATCCAAAAACTAGTGTACAAATAGCCAAAAGTTGCAGAATCCCTTCCCGAGCCTACACGCCGGTCCAAATGTTTTGCGCTAACAGTTCTCTAATCGAATTCGGTGGCGCTATTCCAAACTAGAGCTTTTGGATCATTCCACCGATTTTTCTTGGCACAAGTCCCCTGTCCAATGGCTGTTGCCCCCTCTTTTCTCTCTCTCTAATCATCTATCTCTCCTCTATACGAGCTGCTTTGTGAAAATTTCCTAACTTCGTCATCTTCCATGTCCTGTATGAGTGTCCGGATTCCCAAAATCGAAAATAAGCGAATAAATAGGCGAAAATAGTCAAAAACTCTTACCAGTTCTGCGTTCTCAAGTGAATGCGTCACAAAGGGCCCGGAGGTGAAGCGTTGCTGTTCTTTGAGCGGCACTAGTCGCTGATGGGCCAAGTGGTTCAATTACCGCAGAATAATTTCGCCATGCTCTTTCACCGCCTCTCCGAGGAAAACCGCAAATTCAAGCCATCGACGTCATTCCAACGTGTGCCTTATCGATTTCCCTTTTAGGTTTTTGGAAAGGAAATAGACGCTTTCTCAGAATCCAATCTATTTCTCTAAATTCCGTTCCCTCTCACGGGTTTGCCTTGCTGGGTCTCATTTTTGGTTCCTTTTGATTTTTTACGGCTTGGCAGCATCAGTGCTTCATATAACGCTTTTGAAATCATCACCTGTTGTTGAGGCAGGTTTCAGTATAAGGTCACAATTTCCAGAAATTATTGCCCTGAAAGTTTTCCCGAATGCCTCTCGCTTTTTCTCCCATATTTTTGTATTATATTTTATACTAAATCATCCACTTGTTATTAGGCGTTCCGGTCGACCTCTCGGAATGAGCTTCTGATAAGTCAAAGGGACCTTTTTCATTACTTAAAACGGCTGCAGGAG